GCGCACCTCGGGGGCCTGCAGGGGGTGGGGGTGGGGAGGTGACGAGGTGAGAGTGGAGGCAGGGGAGAGGACAGCGCGGCCTCGCCGCACACCCGCCCTGGGACGGACCACCAGCCTCTAGCCCCGGGGGCGGCCCCGCGGCTCGCGCCCCCTGCTGGCACCTCTGCGCCGCTGCAGGCGCCTTACGCGCGCGGTCTCGCTCCTCGCGAGCCGAGAGGGTGATTCCACCCCCTAGAACGGCTCCAGGCGGGCGGCGGAGGGAATTTGCCCCCGTGCCCTCCCGGCCCTTCCTCCTGCTCCCGAAGAAGTAGAAGCTCAGCGCGCCAGCCGCACCCCCTTCCCACCCGGCTCCTCTAGGGGACGAGCGAGAATGGTTTTGCACGGGATGGGCCAGGCATATGGCATTTCGAACCTCTACGAGTGGCAGCAGCCAGCTGGGGACAACGAAAAGGGCAACAACTGCGTCATGGTTTTACTGATGTTCGCCAAAGAACTACGCAGGGCTGGGATCCAGTCCATGGGGCAGGAGGGCGACACTTGAAGATCGTGAGTTATTTTTAGGCTTCAGGTGGTTTCCTTGACTCAAGAAATCTTGGTGAGATTAATGCGAATTTATAGGGGCTTGGATTAGATGATTTATTTCCCTTTCCAGCCTTGAGTTTCTATGAGCAGATGTAGCGAGGATTAAATTAAATAAGCATAAACAAACTTGTGAACACAGGCTTACAAGTTTAAAAAATGAAGATCTCTAAGAGTGGTCATAGGTTTAATCTTTTTGACGAGTTGAGGATAGTCCCAATTTACATATTAGAAAAAGACTAGGTCTTGCTCGTTTTTGTAGCCACGGCACCGGGTTCAAGTGATTGTTAAGTGGATGAATAATTCCCATGTGGATTATCACGTGCCCAAAGTCACTTGGATAGTCAAGGCAGCGATCCTTGCCTTTTTATCCATGTGCTTTTTCTGATTACCACATGCTTACCAGCCGTTGGGTGGTAATAATCAAAGACCTTACTCCGGTCCCATCAACTGTCTCCCAGGAGATAAAGCCATATATATATTTTATTTGATTACTAGCTTCTTCAAGTATATGGCCTATCGGTTAGACATTTACATAGTTTATGAAATGAAAGCCATGTTTAAAGAAACCCTAGTTGGCGAGGCTCAACTTTTATGACCTAAGTTTTGTGTGTGCTGCTCAGCCCAAATAAACGAATGTTTACGAACGCCTGCGTTGCCTAAATAAAGTACAAAGAGATTTAGTGGCGTTTTATCCTAGTATAGTAGTACCTGGCACAGAATAGGGAATCCATGCATGTTTGTTGAATTTATAAAGAACGGTATGTATTGCTCTCTCTTGGCTGGTTCGGCTGTTTCCCAATCTGATACAGTGGAAGCCACAAGGGGGTGATATGGGACCATTTTAAGTTACAGTTTTGCTCACCCTGCTTTGTGCCAAACAAAATCTTCACATTCTAGGCTGAAGTTTTATTCCAAACATGCATTTCGTAGTGAAAGCCCCGCCCCCCGTCCCCCCCCCCGCCGTGTATTACTTAAACAAACAAACCCACACTATTTGCACTTACCCAACAAAGTAAATAAAAGATTCACAATATTTACATGTCTAACATAATCACAAATCGAAAGCAAAGTGAGATTCTTGGATTGGCTGGAGTACGTGTCCAGTTTCATTTTTATATCTCCCTTTTCCTCTCCTTCCACTTGAGGGTGGTGGCTGCAAGGATAAAATCCTCAAGAGTACCAAATTCTAGAGTTTGTTATATTCTGTTATAACTTTGGAGGAATGTTGAGGCATCATTCTTCCAACTTATTGCCACATTTTGTAGCATAGCTTAATTTCTTCCTGATTGGTAAAAGGATTCATGTTTATCATATAATGGAGACAATAAAAATATATGAAGGACAAAAGAAAAATTTATCATAATCCCACACCCCAGAGCTAACCATGGTAACATTTTGCTCAATATCATTCTTTTATTTTTATTTCTATATCCATATAGAATTTTTTTTTGAAATTAGGATATTATTGTTTCTTATTTTGTAACAGCTTCCCCCTGCCCCTGTTTTATATAGCCAGAATGTTCCTTTGCTATTAATGTTATCAGCACCTTGGGATTCAAATATTAGTGATCATACAGTTAAATAGTGGATGATTAAGTTGTTTCCATCTTAAAACAATGTTCCACTAATTCGGTAAGTAAAATGCAGCATCCCATTTTAATTTGTATGTCTTGTTTTTTATGAACTGGAATATTTTCTCATGTGTTTATTGGCCATTTGTATTTCTTTTGTGAATTTGCAGTTTGTCTTTTGCCCATTTTCCTACAGACTGTTCATATATTCTTTAAAATTAAACTTTTTAGCTTTTTTCTTGAGATATATGTTACATATATTTCTTTCTAGTTGTTTGTTTTTTAATTTAGTTAATGGCACAAACATTTTCAATTGTCGTGAAAGCAAGTTTATGAATATTTTCCTTTATAAGTTCTATTATTGGCCTTATGCTGAAATAATCTTTTCTTCTGTCCATATCTGGTTGCATTTTTTACTTTAACTTTTTAATCTGAAATTTATTTTGGGGTATGAGATGAGGAAAAGTCTCTATTTGTCTGTCATAATCCTTTTCTCTTATTTCTCTTCATTTGTATAACAGCTGGAAATTAAATTTGTAATAACAAATTAGCTTGATGCTCAAGTAACTTCCTAGTATTGGTTTTCAAACTTTAGCTCTATCAGAATCATTGGGAGATCTTGTCAAAATATAGATTTCTCTGCTCTATCTCTAAAGTTTCTAATTGGATAGGTTTTGGGCTGGAGCCTGAACAGCTGCATTTCTAACAAGTTCTCAGATGATGCTGATGCTGCCGGCTCAGGATCACACTTTGAAAATCACTATCCTAAGGCTTTCTGCACCCACACTAGCCAAAAAGGACTTCTCACTATTCCACAGATAATCTCTGGCTCTTTCTCATCTGTGTGTTTCAGCACGTTTCTTCCACCTGCAATCCCTTTTCTTTGTTTCTGTCTGTAAGATAAAACACATAATTATCTCTCCTATGAAATCTTTGATTTTTCCTCAGCAATGATCTCTGATCACTCTTTAAAGATTTCACAGTATTTGGTACAGTAGGTCCACTTCTCACCAGAGGTGCATTTACTGTGAAGGTACTGAAGCTTAAGCTTAAAGTTCCCTTGACTGTATGAACCTCTTCCAAGATGAGGTACTTAATTCCGTATTTATAATTTTATATTCTTTTTCTTAATATGGTCCCTTCAATTTGCATAAGCTCTGTCCTCACAAAATTTGGCTCCACCCCTGTTTATTCTATTGTCTCTCCACCAGCTCCAAATTCTGATGTTATTATATTCAAATCTGCTCCATCTCCTTGCTTAGCACGGTGTCTTGCATAGAACTTTATTCACTTTTTAAGTAAAATATTTATTGCATGTCTGCCTTATGTCCACTAAACTAGGTATGGTGTAAGCAAGATAGACATGGTCCTTGCTCTGCTGGTCTTCATAGTAGGCTAGACAAGATAGGCAATTAAACAGCACTAGCACATGACAACTAAACTTACATAAGGTAAGTAAGGTGTGTTATGGAAGCACATGACAGGCAGCCTAGCTTGGTCTAAGGAGGATGGGGCAGGTAAAGAATCTAGGTATGCATCTTGTCGAATGAATTGATAAACTCTTTACTGACCACCTAGCCCGCTGACACTGGTGCAGACCTGACTAGTGATGCACTTCTGACTCAGATATGAGGCAGCTGCCTGCCATAGTCTCAAGTCAGGGACCTCACATCCCGAACAGATATACCTGGGCTCCATAATTCTAAGCCACCTACATAGCAGAGGTCCTCCAAGCAGCTAGCCCAGTATTTTCAAAACCATCAAGTCCAGATCTAGCCAGTGAACTTACTGAGACATTTTGCTTTCTTAAAATGAAACAGAGATCTTTTAGCTTACTCCATTTCTCCTTCCCTGAATCTCATCTCTGAGAGCCTACCGAGACGTTATGCTGGATCAAGTTCTCTGTGAGGCTATACAACTTTTTCACTTGGTACTCAATTTTTGTTTGCTATTAGTCTTTTTTTTTTTTTTAACTGAATGAACAAATGAATGAATGAATAAAATCTGACTAGACTTATTAGGTATTAATAATGATACTTTCTATAGTATTTGTAAGGCATTTTTCATTTTCTAGAGTACTTACTTTACAGCATCTGGGAATGAAGGTCAAGTGTTTTATCCATTTGATAGATTTAAACTCAGACACGTGTACCCGTGAAGATCTGAAGGCTGAATCATGTCAGGAGAGATTGAGATTAATTGATGACAAAAAGGAAGCATATACCCAGTAAATAGGTATATTTGTTATCCCTAGGAAGAAAACTCATTGATTGTTTAGGTCTGTGGTAGGCATTATTCCCTGTCCTGTTTGAAGTTAGGAAGAGCCATGTGACTTGCTTCAGTCATTAAAATGTCAGTAGAAGTGTCATGTATTACTTCTAGGTGGAGGCATTTCATTTCCAGTGCTCTCTTCTCTAG